AGGGTTTAGGGTTGAGGGTTTATAGTCTAGATTTGAACTCTGAACAGCGCAAGCAAAGTGGAACTCCTAATTTCAAGTCCCGAGGCATAAAAAAAAACACCAAAAAGAAGCTCCAGTATCCACATCACACGTGCAACCTGAGCCAAAGCTTAGCTGAAGTAGGGCTTCTATGCAGACCTTTTAGAAAAGCATGCCCTCATCAACATACCTATACGGAGCTCTGCGACAACTCACCACGGTCCTAACATAAACCCCGCTTCAGCTGTGCTGCCGCATATCGTCCTCAACCAAGCTGTAGTCCTCATTCAGGGCTTGCGTTTGAAGGTTTTATCAAGCCAGGCTGGTGTAAGGTAGGGGCCTTAATGGTTAGAATTGGGCTTTGGGGTATATTATACTGTAAATATAAAAAATGAACCCCCCCCAAAAAAAACATATCATAGATAATTAGAACTGGGTTTTGGGGTATATTATACTGTGAATATAGTAATGAACCCACCAAAATATCATAGATAATTATTAAGGCCCCAAAATAACACCTCAAGCTCCGGTTGGTTGGAAGCTCGGAGTTTTGGCTTAGGGTTTAGGGTTTAGGGTTGAAGTTGGACGCTCGAGCTGTGAAGGTTGGACACTAAAGTTCTCCAAATGGTCCATACACGCTCCCATTATGGAACTAGGTCCCCAAAAGACCATCCCTACTATGGTTCTGGGGACCTAATTCCATAATAATAGTAGTATATATGAACCCTCTTGCGTTGGCTTTGCAGCACAGTAGAGGTCGTCGGGTTTCAGTTTCCACCAGGCAGCTCGGTTCGACTGTCATAAGCAGTGACGAGTTATGCTGCAGCATGCTTTTTAGGTATCATCGATGTCATCAGCAGTAGCACCACCACCAGCAGAAGCAGCACCACCGCCACCACAGACCACCACGGTAACTTCTACCGGAACAATGGCAACGACGACTGCTCCGTTACTAGCCACAGCCCCTGCTTGCTGCAAGCACAACGAACCGAAGACATCACGAATGCAGTATTATCAAGTTTGCTGCCATGCCTTGTAAACCACTACCCAAACCGACATCTGCTTGCGCTTAAAAACCCTAAACCCTAGAGTTTTAAACACGCTGGCTTTAATATAGAAGCCTAAATAATTGCCAATATTATTCTCAGGGCTCCTCATCATAATTACTATAGTGAGCGGGGGGGCTTAAAGCAAGTTGTACAGAAGTTATAACCGGCTTGCAACCCTATTGCAACCCCGTTACAAGCACATATA